ATGAAATTATTATTGATTCAACATTTAAAACAAATCAAGAAAAATTTGAACTTTTTGCAGTTATAAATAATGATGGTGGATTTGGGGTTCCACTTGCATACCTATATTATACTACTGTAGTATCAGAAAAATGTCTTCAAAATTCTAACAACAATATTACTACATGAGTAAAAGTTTTAGAAGAATTTTTTTCTATACTAAAAATTCTTGGAATTTCGTCTAGCTTTGTTCTTTTAGATAAGGATCTTGGTGAAATCGCAGCTGTAAAAAAAGCCTAGGCAGAAATACCAAAAATTCAATATTGTTTGTGGCATGTAGAGCATGCTATTCAATGAAAATTAAAAGAAAAAAAAAACAAATCAAGCCAATATACATTACGGGTGGCCGCTAATGCTAAAAGCATGTTTGAATTTATTGATGAATCGTGGATACCTAATGAACAAGAAGATATTTTGTGTCCTGAAGAAAATATGAATGAAGTTTTAGGACTAATTAAAAGACATATTTTATTACATCCTCTTGTTCCAATTAATAATGGAGTATTTCTTACCTCAACTCAAATTTATCGATTAAGTGTTCAGGAAATATATAACTATTGTAAAAACAGAAATCTTGTTCGTTTGTGGGGATATTTATGATGTAATTGGTATAAAAAAAATCATTGGGATCTTTTTGCTCGGGCCTCTTTCTCAAAAGCATTGCCATTAGCAAAAACTACAATGTTAGTAGAATCGCATTGGTGTGTTCTCAAGTACCATTACAAATATAATTATAACCGACCTCGTCTGGATCACTTAACACAAATAATAACTAAGGAATTAATTCCAGATCGAATAAATGACTGGTACAAGTTTGATAATAGTCGCGCCTTTCCATCATGGTGGAGAATATTTAGAAGTGATTGGAAAACTATATTAGAAAAAGAAATTAGTTTGGAAAATAATTATTATACAAATATTAATCAGTGGATTTGCTCATGTCCTGCATTTACTGAAAGTACTTACATGCTATGTAAACATCTTGTAAGAAATTATACAGATGAGTATCCGGACTTTTTTCCCCAATTTGCAAATACAAAACGAAGACATGATTATCCATTCATCTATTTTGGTAAAGAAAAACTTCCACGTATTAACTTAGAAAATAACCCCTGGAATGAACCCATTGAAGAATTTTTTGATGAACCTGAAAATTTAATAGAAAATATTAATGAAGAATTATATACCAATAACCAAAATAAAATAATTGAATCCAGAAAAGCAGAACTTAATGAGGATAAAAAGATGTTTGAATCTTTATTAACAATCGTTTCAGATAATATTCAAAATGACTCTTTTTATAGTACCTACCAAAAACTAAAACAATCTTTAATAGCCGAAACAATTGCTTGTCAGGAAGCTTTACGGGCTAAACATCAACAAAAAACTTGGCATCCCCCTCATAGATCTAAGCTTGCTTTTTGGTTACAGTAGATAGTTTTTATTCAATATAATTATAATTAAAAAAAACTTCAGCTAGATTTTAATCGTTTAAGGTTTTGTTAGTATATCGATAATATAAGTGTATAACAATAATATAAGTATTTTGATAATTTTTAATAAATATTTAAAACCATCCCTGTCTTATATGTTAACTGTTTCATCATCTATAATTAGGTTCAAAATATAAATCAATACATCACGAATTCAAAGGTTCTCATTATCATTATAAAAATAATACCGATACATTTTTTTTGCGATTAGATCATCATCTGCACTATTCCTGTATTACGTATGTGCTCATCGATCCCTCCGAAATCACGGGACCGACACTTTTTTTCAGCCCGACTAAGTCCCTCTCAAAAATCTTTTAAACTTAATGAAATCGACTATATACACAATAGAACTTACTATATATATAATTTGGAATGGGTTTTATGATTTTATTTGAAAAGACAGATACATTAAAGTTGTAGAATAAAAAAAGAAACAAAATATAAAAAAGAAGAATAAAAGAGAAATAAAGAACAAAGAATTACAGCTAAAGAAGAAAAGAATACACCACCCAACTATTAAGATAAAAAGAGGAAAAAAGAGATAAAGCTTTGGCAAAAGAAAAGAAGATACAAAAAACATGGGGTGGTGATATTTTGAATTGGATACAAAAGAGTATAAACCCCTTTTGGACAAGCTCATAGGGGTGCTTTTTCTAGCTTACCTGTAAGCCAGTGTGATGGGTTGCACCTGGATATTTTATAGGTAACCGGGTGAATTCAGGCTTTTAATTAGTCTTAGAAATAAATGTATATAGATTA